TTTTTTTTTTTTTTTTTTTTTTTTTTTTTTTTTTCTAAAATGACGTTATTTTATAATTTGTTATTGTAATTTATTCTTCTTTTTAAGCATATTCTTTTATTATGTATTTTATAATTTTTTTTTTTATATAAACATGTAATAAATAAAAGTTAATTTTTAATAAATTTTTTAAAAATTTATATTAAAATTAAAAATTAAATTATCTCTTTAATAAAATAATTAAAAATACAACATAAAAGGTGAAGCTATTAAATCAAAAGTAATATTTTAATTATTTAAAATTTTATTATATATTTTTTTTTTTTTAATTATTGATTACATATTTTATTTTGTTTTTTTTTTAAACATAATTAAATATAAAATGTTATTAACAATTAGAGAATAAATATAAATAATTTATTTTTATTATTTGAATTATAGAACCTGTTGATACATATTTTTAAATAAATAAATATATAAAATTATAAATTTTAATCATACAATTTTTTTTTTTTAAAAATATTTTATCTTACAAAAAAGAAAGTTTATTAAAAAATATACAATAAAGGAAGATAATAATTAAATTAAATATATATATATATAACATTTTTTTTTTCGTAATATTTATAAAATATATTTAAAAAAAAAATAAAATGAAGATTGTAGAAGAACTAAATGCAATATTTTTAAATTGTTCTAAAAATGTAGATAAGAAGAAAATTAAAAATATAAAAAATATTTTAAATAAAAAAAATAAGAAAAAGGAGAAGGAATTAGAAAAATTATTTGAATTTTTATCAAATTTATTAAACAAAGATTTAGAAAAAGAAGTTTTAAAAATAAATTTATTATCATTAAAAGAAAAAGAAAAAGAGAAAGTCTTTAATAATTTAAGAAGAATATTTAGAACATTTGTTTTATTTAAATATGAATATGAATATATAGAAATTTTGTGCGATTTTTTATTTTATTTATTCAAGTATATGAGGAAAATAAATGTAAAGAAAAGTTATAAATTAATAAAAAAAGTTACCAAAGAAGGCACAGAAGATAAAGTTGATTTTATAGAAAAAAATAAAAAAGAAAAAAATAAGAAAGAAGAGAATAAAAAAGAAGAGAATAAAAAAGAAGAGAATAAAAAGGAAGAGAATAAAAAAGTAGAAAAATTAGATGATGAAAAAAATAATGATAATATAGATAATAACAAAGTGAACAATAAAACTATTATTGTCTCATGTTTAAATAGATACAACAAATTAATTTTTAACTTTTTATTAAATAGTAACATATTAATATATTTAGAAAAATTAAAAAAAGAAGATAGCAAAAATTTAATATGTGATGAACATTATTTTTTTACGAAATTAAAAAATTCTATTTTTAATAAAAAATATATGTTAGCATTAAGTGAATGTATTCGTTTTATTATATTAAAGTATCCTAAATTTCCCATATTTATTGATTCACTTTTTAATTTATTTTTTTATGTTCGCAATAAATTAATAATATTTTTTATTAAAAATATTTATAAAAAGATTTCAGATATATTTATTTTAAAAAATAATGAAATTAATAAAAAATTAACTATAAAAAAATATTATAATCTTTTATTTTTTGTATATTTCTTATATAAAATAAAAATGGTTATTTATTTATATTTGAATTCAGATAAATGTAACTTATTAAATGATTATATAGAATCTAAAACTATAGTTGACTTTTATATAAAAATTATAAGAGATTATAAAAATAGTTTTTATTATTGTTTTTATGCAATAAATAACAATAAGAATAATCAAAAAAATTCTCAGAATTTATGTTTAGTTATCATTTATTTAATTAACATAATTTATACTAGTCACAATGATGTTCTTAAAGTATTTGATAATAATACCAACAAATGCACTTATTTTAAAAAATATAAGGATATATTTTATCATTATCATAAAATATTAGATAACGTATTTAAAAATAATAAAGATAACAGTTTTATTAAAATGAAAAGGAAAACCATTCTCTTAAATAATATGTCTACAAAAAATTATAATAGTTTAATTGAAAAAAAAAAAAAAAAAAAATCTTTAAATATGGATTATAAGAATATATCCAATCAAAATAAAATCTCAAGTAATGATCAAAATTATAGTGACATAAATAAATATATAAAAAATTATTTATTGAATAAAATAATTAATGAAAAGGAATATTCATTTTGTTATTGTATTTCTTTTATATATACTCTAATAAATAGAAGTATAAGATTATATGATTATGATACTATTTTAAATGATATTATTTTTTATAAAAAAATGTGCTTTGATGAAATATATTCAGAAAATCAAGAAGTTTTAAGTAATCGAAATATTAATACAAAAGTTCAATTATTTAATTATTCTAAAATTTTATATAACAATTTTTTTTTAAATCTTGTAAAAAATAGTTTTTACTTTTATATAAACATAGATAAAAATATTCTTAATTATTTTTTTATTAATGAATTTCAGAAATTTTTGATGAACAAAAATTTAAATTACAAGGATTTATATTATCTAATGGGGTATAGAATAAATGATAAATATCATGAAATTAATATTTTATTACTATTTGAGAAAATTATTTTTAGAAATATTTTAAAATATACCATACATATGGATTATCAAAACTTAAATAATTATGAAAAAAAAAAGGGGGAGAAAATAAAAGAAAGGGAAGAACATAGAGGAAATAATCTTACATATTTTTTTAATAAAAATTATAAAAAAATAGAATCGTTAAACATAAACGAGTTTAATATTAGTAATAAAGAATTATATGATTTAATTATAAAAAAATCAGAAAATACTTTTATTATTCTTAATAACCTAAATTTTTTAGATTTAAATAATTCTATTAAGAATTTTCATTTTGACAAAAATATAATTAATTTACTTTTATATCAATTAACAAAAGAAGGTTTTACAATCTTAAAATTCTTACATGATTCTAATCTAAGAAAAAAAGAGAAAATAAATATTTATATTAAGCATCTTAATTTCTTAGTTTTTATATTAAAACCCATTTCTAATTTATTAAATTCTTTTCTTTCAATTATAAAAATAATTGAATCAAAAAAAAAATGTATACTGTTTTGTAATGAGAAAAAAAACATTTTATTTGCAGATAATTATTATGAAAATATAAAATATAAAAAGAAAAATATGCAAGAAGAAAAAATAGTCTTTCTATATTTTGAAGAAAATTTTAATAAAAATTGTATGAAAAAAAAGTACTTCAAAATTTTGAATAAGTTTATTAAATTATATATTACTATCATCAAAGAAAAATATATTAAAGGAAAGATATTTTGTGATAATGAATTTATTGAAATTGGGAAGGTAATTTTCTTTGTTTTTGATTTTATGATATTTTATATTTCTAATAGTATAAATATAAATGAAAAAAATCATATAAATATTTTAAAGGATTTAAAAAAAATTTATTGCAACCTATTTAATGATGTAAATAATTTATATGAATTAATTAATAATAATAAAAATTTTCAAAAAGAGGTGAAAAATAAATTAATAAGTTTTTCAGAAAATTATTTATTTATATATCAGAAATTAAATAGTAAAATAGACAAAAATTATTTTACCTTTTTTGTTAATTATGATTATTTAGAAGTTGATAAAAAAGAAGATAATAAAATATCAAAACAGATTTATAATCAATTAAAAAAATTATCAATAGAAAAAATATATAATAGTAGAATAAGTGATAATGAAATTAATGAAGATATTAAAAATGAAAGAAATGATATTATAAATGATGAAGAAATTAATGGTAACAATGAAGATATAGTTATTTCAAATAGTTTTTTGTTAGATTTATTGGTAGATAATTCAAAAAAACAAGAAAAAAAAAATGATTTACAAAAAAAAAAAACTCATAGTGATTTATTTTATAACGTCACTTACTTATTAAAATGCTTAAAAATAAATATAAAGAAAGAAGTTGCTGAATCTTTGATAAAATCATTATATTATATGCTTAATTCATTAATAATAATATCTAAAAAAGTAAAATTAATTTCGAATAAAATGGTTAATGGGATAAACGAAGGAGAAGTAGAAGAAAAACATCAAAGTGAAGTTGAAAATATAGATGGAAATAAAAATGAGAAATCACCTACCTCCATATACATTGAAGATTTAACAAATTTAGGAAAAAGCTTAAAACATATATTATTATCATTTAAGGTTAATAAAAATATAAAAATAAAAAATTCAAATAAATTAAATAGTATAATAAAAAAGTATGTATTTAAAATAATAACGATAATAATTAAAGAGAGAAAAAATATTGACTTAATAAAAATTTGTATAAAATGTTTAGAATACTATAATATTATTGAAAAAAAAATAAATAATAAAAATAACAATGTAATTAATTATTTATTTGAGTTTTTAAAAATTATATATTTTATTCCATATTTAAAGGGATATTATTCAAAGTATATAAATTTATTTTTTAAAAGTGGTTTTGTTAGATATATGAATATAAATGAATTATTTAATAAAGCATATAAAAATTATTTCCATCAAATAATAAATAAATTTTGTTCTGATTTTAATATTTCTGATTATATAGGTAATAAAATGAAAATAAAAGATATAGATATCACGGTAAAAAAAAAATTTGTTAATGAAATCATTAACAACATAAAGAAAACGTATAAAAAGAATTATGAAGCAATGGAAGAGAATTATAAACATTATATGAATAGTATTAAAAATGAAAATACACTACTAAACCCATTTAATTTTAATATCATTCTTCATATTATACAAAACATATGTATTTTTTTTAATAAAGCGTTAGCAGATAATAATGCAAATGTATTTAATAAAAAAGTTAGTTTAAATTTATTGGGATTATTAAAAAAAATTAGTAGTATATTAAATATGAAAGATAATAATTTACTAATTTTTAAAGGTGAACTAATAAAAAATTTAATAGAAATTCATAAATTTCAAAAACTGTTAGATGATAAATTATCTAATCAAAAAATATATATTAATATAAATAATTTCAATAAAAAGTTAGTAACTTTTTTAGAGACATTAAAACCATTTGAACTTCAATATGAGCAAAATTCTATAAATGAATTAAATGGAAATAATATGAAACATAAAAGAAAATCAAACAAAAGAGATTTAGAAAAAAACATACAAATAAAAAAGAAAATAAAAATATAGATATTATAAAAATTTATAAAATATAAATATATATATATATATATATATATATATATATATATATATATATATATATTTTGACGTATGTTTGCTATTTTATTATAATTTTTAAAATTTTGTTTTTTCTTTTTATTTTTTCATTTATATATATATATATATATATATTTTTTAAACCTTTTATATTAGAAAAAAAGAAAAAAAAATTATGGTAACAACTTTTGAAGAACGTTAATTACATTTTCTTCAAAAATAATATGTTCTTCTTTTTCAAATTTTTCTATATGTTTATTTTTCCTTCAAAGAAAAAATAAAATAAATAAAATAAATAAAATAAATAAAATTTAAAACATTTTAAAAATTTTTTTTATAAAAAAGAAAAAAAAAAAAAATATGAATACCCTGTAATTTCAGGTATTAGAGACTTCATAATTTCTAAAGAATTTATTTTCAATTCCTGTTCATTAAATCTTTTATTTGTTTTAAGATTTTTACGTTTTTCACAAACAGAATGAATAAAACTTTTCATTTCTTCTAATTCTTCATCTTGAAAATTGATTTTACATTCTATATTTGTTATATTGATTTTGTTTACTATTACATCAAGAAATTCTTTAAATAAATTTTTTAAATTCTAATGATTAACAAAAAAAAAAAAAAAGAAAAAGTTACTTTATTTTTTAAAAAATTTTAAGAAATAGACAAAAATGATTATGTTTAACACATGTACATTCATTTATTTTTGATGGAATTATTATTTTTTCATTTATTAAATAATGTATTAATATATCTATATTTTTACATCAATAGTATTTTGATAATTATTAATGATATTTTCATTATGTATATTATTCGAATTATTTTGATTATTTATGCCAACAAAAAAATGTAATTTTGTGAGAGAATCGTTTTTTTTTAAGGATTCAATAAGATATTGAAATGCTTCTTGATTTAGATAAGGTAATTTCAAATATTTAATGTTTTTATTTAAAGTATAGAAAATTATATTTTTAATCTCCTGATTAGTTAATTCAATATTTTGTATGTTTAAATATTCTAAATTATTATTTTCAATAATTAATAAAAGTTTATTAAATATCATTTTTGTTACCTTATTATATTTTATATTTAAGCCTGTTATATTTTTATTTTCATAAACGCTGCAAATAACTTTAAACAAATTAATTTCATTTAAGTTGTTATAAGATATATCTAATATACCAATAAATGTTTTATTCTTTTTTAAAACATTACAGAAATTATCTATTATATCATCATCTATATTTTCATTTATATTTAAATTTCTACATTTTAATTTTATTTTTTTTTCAATAAATTTATCATTTTTTAACTTATCTGTTATTATGATATAATTTTCTGTTAATGAATTTTTCATTATGTAAAAAAATTATACATTTTTTTTTTTTTTTTTTTTTTTTTTTTTCTTTATTTGGGTTTATA